ATCAAACTTATAGTAACTCTTGTCAATATTCTATCAATTTCTAAATAAATAAATAAATTAACACATTTTTTATTTTTTATTACTATGAATGCATTCTTTTTGAAGAGAATACAAATTTTATTTATTTCAAGTAATTAGTTTGTCGTATAGCAAATAATGTATAAGGAAATTTTATTTTATTTATTTGAATTAATTAATTTGTCGTACAGCAAATAAAATATAAGGAAATGTATTCAATACAAACAAATGTATTCTTACATCGCAAAAATATTCGGACATTTAATTTTTGACAACAAAAAATTTTGTCGAAAAATACAAAAAATATTTTCATATAATACAAAATTTTTAAATGTGGATATTTGTTAGATAGATTTTGTTTAAGTATACGTCGTAATTGATTAAATATGTTAATTATAATTTTTTGTAAATAATTTATGATGCACTTCCATTCATTTAATAATCTTTGTTTTAATCTTTTCTTTGACGTAATTGGCTTTTGTAATCTTTCTAATAATCCTATAAGTTTTTCAATGATTCTATGGTTTTCAATTAAGTTTAAATCAGGTGATATATTATTTGCTGTACAACAAATTACTTCACGTAAATAAATAATATTTGTATTTAAAAAAAAGTATACATTATGGTAATAAAAACATAACAAATATGTACAAATATATGTATAGAATAATAATTGATAAAATAATACAGCGACAGAATATTAATAAGAGTCACTGTTTATAAATTTAAAATAATCCACATCACATGGATATTTTTCGTTATGTATTAATTTCATGTTTCATCAAGGATTAATTAACATATGTTGATATTAAATCAGCATTATGTTTTGAGGACGGTAGACAACACATTACATTTCTGTTTCTTTCACTTTGTTTCGCCTTTATTTAAAACTATAAATTATAAAACATAAAATAAGTTATTCGAAAAAGAATATACACTCGTTCTTAATCTTTGGCATTATAATTATCAAGTAATAAAAAAGATAAATTTGAATCTATTCGTTTTAAAAGAATTATAAGTTTTTTAAAATTAAGTATTTTTTATTGACTGTGTGTCCAAAATTACAAAACAATAAGTAATTAAAATTTAAACAAAATTTAAATTTAAATTTAAGCATAATTTTCTGATAAGTTATTAAAATATTAAAATTATTAAAAGTTATTAAAATTAATTTGTAACTACTATTAATAATTAGTAATCTATTAATGTTTAAATACTTAGATATTTTGAATAAAAAAATTGATAAAAACTGATAATTTTAATGTTTTGATTACAATTTCCTTTGATGTAAAATTTATTCAATTTTTGAGCAATGTTATATTTATTTAGTAACGATATTAAAAATGTGATTCATTTCGAGGTTATTCAGCAACGATACAAGAAAATTGCATACGAACAGTTGCAGATAGTTCATTCAAAAACGATGTAAAATTATGGTAAACATCAAGGTAATAATAAAATATTGAGGTACAAGGTATAAATAAGTTCGCTTAATTCTTGTTCGGATACAAATATTTTTCGATACTTATACTTCCTAATTTTCGCCGAGTTAGTTTCTTTCAGTCTTAATTTTGCAACAACATTTACAACAACGTTTCAAGAACAAAACGATCAAATTATGTGTTTAGAATAAAGTAACATTTATATTAGTTATTTAAAAATCAACATCTAAAATGGATGAAAAATAATACATAGTAATTTACTAATATTATTCTCTATTTACATTTCATTCCAGTACAAATAATTGAGAGAATCAAGATGCAAGTTTCATTAATTACAAATTGTTGACTTGAAAATTGTCGAACCCTGTAATTTACATATACACTACCGTCCATAAGTATCCGGACACCAGCGAAATATGCATTCGCGTTGCATGAAAGTTATTCAAGTATCTGCAACAGTAACTAAAATCGATTTTTTTTCTACGAAGGTCAGAATACTGGAACGTTTTTCCATTGATAATTCTCGTTTGAAACTCATATCTCGATGGAAAAGAAGCTACAGACGAACTAAACCGAAACTGTCGAGCACGTAACGTTACCTCCATTCTTATCTCCATTGAGGGAACCTAAACATCTACCAACAGTTTACAAACACTTGAAACATATCGAATAACCCTCTGAATACGTTCTGCACCATAGAAATGAAACACAGTAGAAATTAAAATTTTTTTTAGAATCGAAAGCGTTTCATTGGATTCACAAATTTGGACTTTGTACTTCTGAACATGAATTTTACTTTCACGCTTTCATTGTATAATTTGTACTTAAAAATTAATTCTATTACGTTATGACACCTCAAAAAAGATAATAATAATTATTACAAATGATATGATAACCCTAAATACCTTTCGTACAAAGTTCAACTATGTTTTATGTAACGAAACCAAGTGTCCGGATACTTATGGACGGTAGTGCATATAAAAACGATTAAAAATTCGTGAAAACTCTTGCATCTTCATCGTTCGATAATAAAATATATTCTTGCAATTACATCACAGTATATTATACAATATTCTCAGCGTAATATTTCCCATCTGTTATTTTATTCATCTGTTATTTTATTTGATAAGATTATTTAACAGTTACTACTTACAGACATTATGTTTTAATGTTCATCTTAAAATTACATGTTAATATTAGTAAAAAATGAAAACAAGAAATATGTATATCATTAAAAATTAATCCTTTGGTCTAACATCGTAAAATATTCATTTTTAAAATTAAAATTAATTTAATTTTAAAAGAAATTAAAAATGGGCCTCGTTTAAATATATACACGTACAGTAATTATTACATAATTAGTTTCGTTTTAACGGATCCTCCAAAGGATTAATGATTTCCATTGCAGCTGAGCATATCATCACTATTCATTTCTCATGACCATTTGCTGTATTAATAAGCTTCATTTCTCATTTTCAAAATCTAGATTACACGCATCGAATAATTCATGTTGGAATTAAGCTTTTGTTGGGAATTAATGATTGATGAACAATTTTCCGCGATATAATTAATCTCTGTGCCAAATGATCACAAATTTATGTATTCAACGTTTGATACAGGGTGTCTCATTTAAGGTGCTTTTCAAAAAAAAAACAAATGTGTCCTTTAGTATTTCTAGTGGGTAGTCAAGCGGTTATTTGACTAATTGTTAGTTATGTTACTTTTACTTTATTTATTTTTATTTATGTCACTTTTATTTTATTTATTTTTATTTATGTTACTTTTATTTTATTTATTTTTATTCATGTTACTTTCATTTTATTTATTTTCATTTATGTTAATTTTATTAATTTTGTAATGCATGGTCTTCAAGGTTATTTCAAGGTCAACCTGTCTTTTCTATCATAAACCAATATTTTTTATTCTGGAATCATATTCTACGTGAAAAAATGCATGATTTTTGTTTCACACATTTTGTTATAAGTTCAATATTAAACGTGCAACAAAATTTCTTAAGATATCTAATTAATTTTTCATATTTTTATCACAAATATTTTTTCTATTAAAATGACAATGTTACTTTGTTTTAGAAGGTTCCTTATTTCATTTAAGAACATTACAATAAATAATTTAAATTTTGACTATCAACTTCAGGACACTTATTAATTCGTTTAATAAAAGAGTTAAGAACAGATGAACATTCAAACAAATTCAAAAAATAATTATATAGTATCTCAAATTTGAAATAAAATTTGTAAGAAAATATTTCAACAAAAGTTATAATTAAAGATGTGCAACGTGTTACATAATTTCAGTAATAAAAACAGGCGTAGTTTATTTATGTTTGACAAAATACAATTATTTTAAGTAACAACACGACAAAAGGTTAATATTAATCATTTATAAAAACAAGTAATTATTCATTTATAAAAACAGACAATTATTCATTTATAAAGACAGACCATTCATAAAAATATTTATAATAAAAAATTAATTTATCATTATATATTGCTAAAAAACACAAAAGAATTTTCGAAAAATATTTATAAAAAAGTAAACAAAGAAATAAATGAGAAAATGCGGAATTATTTAAGGGAATTATCGTCCCAATCATTTTTACCTTAATATCTGACAAGATCTTCGAGAACGGAACATTTTGTTCGGCGCTTATCGAGCGTTACTTGTAAAATAAAGAGAAATGTTGCGATATTTCACAGGTCCGCAACTTACGAGGGTTGTAATCCAGAGTTAAAGAAGAAAAATGAAGCAGTCGAATTTATCGCAAAGTACTACGAACTAGGGACGTCTTTTTGTGGATGTACAAGGTGTTCTGTAATACGTGAACCTCGCTTCAGAAATTATTTCAGGAATTAAAAACAACGAAAACGGTAATATGTTTAAATAAACCGTTTCCATTATTTTTCTTAAATTTATGAAATTCATTAAATTAACCCTCAAATGAGTCACATATTACAGATTGATAACATAACTTTCGGCGATAGTTTTATTTCTAATAAGGTGTATTGAAGGTTATGTTTCATCGATAGCTCAGCTTCAAATCTTGTAATTATAAACATAACTTTCATTCAAAGCATCCTTTGCGTTCAAACTGCTCTTTACATAAATACACATATGTAATTTTTACATTAATTAATTTTCACTAAATCTTATTTCATCAGGCTATTATAAGTATTGTCGTTTTTGAAAATAATTTTAATGCATTTAGAAAATTATGTCTTACAAATTAATTAAAAAAATATTTTTCATTATTTTTTCTAGTCAATTTTTAATTCTTCTTTAAAAGTCTCTTTACAAAAATATTTGTTTCAACTTTATTGATATTAAAGTATTTTTTCAAGGTATTTTTAAAATTTTTACAGTAACTAGTTCTGTAAATGCTGTAAAAAAAGCAAACTAAAAGCAAAGTAATTCTGTACTTTTATCAGATTTAGTTTAAATTTTTAGAATTAGAGGCTTCGTACATTGAGTTGTGCATATTAAATATTTCACGAATAATAATAAGGTATAAATAGCTTACTGTACAAATGAGATAGGTTTATTTTTGTAAATAAGATAAGAAACGACAGTACTCATCAAATAATTTTCTTTAGTTACAACTTTAAAGAACGTTTGAACGCACCGATCTTTTTCCTCGCAATCTATAATTGCAAATTGTCCTTTAGTCACAGTTTCCTCCTGAACTCTTACGAAACTTTCCAGGTTGTAGTTCCAGTTGTTTCGTTCGCGATTTAGAATTCACTTAAGTTGCACCAACACCATAAAGTAGGTGACCATAGCTCCCAAGACCTGAAAAGTTTTTCGTTTAATTAAAGAAAGAATAAGTGGAGAAAGCAGAAAGTACACGTGAGTGTACAAAATTTAGAAATCGCGGTGTTCTCTTTTAACAATGATTGTAACAACAATAATACAGATTATTAAAAACTTGAAAACTATTCATTTTTATTAATTATAAGTATATTTATATTTATATGTTATTAAATTCAATACAACTATTCTAGAACTAAATTTCCATATTCTTTTTGATAAATTAATTTCTAAACTTTTGTATTTGTAAATGAGAAAGATAGTAAACTTCAAAATGTATAAAATTGCAATCTTCTAATTTTTATATTTCTAAATTTCTAAATAACTAAATAATAATGTAAATTTCTAATATAGGAAACATCTAAATTCGAAAGATAGTAAATTAAAAATGTCTAAATAGTGGAATCTATAAATTCGAAGTTCGTAAATGTTCAAACATCTAAATTTCTAATTTTCTAATACCTAAACACACAAAGTCTAGAGTTATGAGATTAAATACTTCTAAATTTTTTAACTTCATATATTCCTAAATTTTATAAACGTTAAAGTATTTAAATTTCTAACTTAGTAAACGTAAAAATATCCAAATTATCAGCTTTGAAACTATCTTCAATCCACAGCGAGCGCGTTCAAACGAGTAATATACTCTTCCCCCACATTACAATTTTCCCTAGGGAAGTCTAGCTTGCTGCTAGCGTAAAAATTTTATTCCGAGATAAATTACGCTACGAAAAATGAAACAAATCTCATTACCGAAGCGAAGAGATCCAACGAGACTGTAAAGAACTTCGCTCCTGAAATTGACATCGCCTTCTGACACTGCTGACATACGATTTGCACGAATGTTTTTGCTTCCTCTGAACCATCGTACCAGTGACAAGAGTATGCAGCTTCCATCACCGATGAACTCTACATAAAATACATATTAGGTATAACAAAGAGTACTTTGTGTAATACAATCATTGGGTTTTAAGCTTGAAATATTTTCAAACATTATTTCTACCATGATTTTTTTGTTGTTTAGAGTTTAAAGTCGCATCAACATCAAGGTTCTTAGCGACTTTCGACTGTGCATTTATTCAGTCATTTTAATTTGGGAATTTGGGAATTTTGGGATTTTGGGATTTTGGGATTTTGGGAATTTGGGAATTTGGGAATTTGGGAATTTGGGAATTTGGGAATTTGGGAATTTGGGAATTTGGGAATTTGGGAATTTGGGAATTTGGGAATTTGGGAATTTGGGAATTTGGGAATTTGGGAATTTGGGAATTTGGGAATTTGGGAATTTGGGAATTTGGGAATTTGGGAATTTGGGAATTTGGGAATTTGGGAATTTGGGAATTTGGGAATTTGGGAATTTGGGAATTTGGGAATTTGGGAATTTGGGAATTTGGGAATTTGGGAATTTGGGAATTTGGGAATTTGGGAATTTGGGAATTTGGGAATTTGGGAATTTGGGAATTTGGGAATTTGGGAATTTGGGAATTTGGGAATTTGGGAATTTGGGAATTTGGGAATTTGGGAATTTGGGAATTTGGGAATTTGGGAATTTGGGAATTTGGGAATTTGGGAATTTGGGAATTTGGGAATTTGGGAATTTGGGAATTTGGGAATTTGGGAATTTGGGAATTTGGGAATTTGGGAATTTGGGAATTTGGGAATTTGGGAATTTGGGAATTTGGGAATTTGGGAATTTGGGAATTTGGGAATTTGGGAATTTGGGAATTTGGGAATTTGGGAATTTGGGAATTTGGGAATTTGGGAATTTGGGAATTTGGGAATTTGGGAATTTGGGAATTTGGGAATTTGGGAATTTGGGAATTTGGGAATTTGGGAATTTGGGAATTTGGGAATTTGGGAATTTGGGAATTTGGGAATTTGGGAATTTGGGAATTTGGGAATTTGGGAATTTGGGAATTTGGGAATTTGGGAATTTGGGAATTTGGGAATTTGGGAATTTGGGAATTTGGGAATTTGGGAATTTGGGAATTTGGGAATTTGGGAATTTGGGAATTTGGGAATTTGGGATTTTGGGATTTTGGAATTTTGGGAATTTGGGAATTTGGGAGTTTTGGGATTTTGGGATTTTGGAATTTTGGGGTTTTGGGAATTTGGGAATTTGGGGATTTTGGAATTTTGGAATTTTGGGATTTTAGGATTTTGGGATTTTGGAATTTTGAGATTTTGGGAATTTTGGACTTTGGGAATTTGAGAATTTGGGAATTTGGGAATTTGGGAATTTGGGAATTTGGGAATTTGGGAATTTGGGAATTTGGGAATTTGGGAATTTGGGAATTTGGGAATTTGGGAATTTGGGAATTTGGGAATTTGGGAATTTGGGAATTTGGGAATTTGAGAATTTGAGAATTTTGGACTTTGAGAATTTGGGAATTTGGAAATTTTGGAATTTTGGAATTTTGGAATTTGGGAATTTGGGAACTTTCAATTTTAATATATGCTTGCTCTCTAATTTTCAACAGCAAGATCATCGATAATCTCTAATCTAGGGATTTTAGTCCATTTTAAGGGTGGATTCTGGTGTCAAATAAACCCAGGACTGTTCTTTAGAACCTTTGACGGAAAACTGATACGCTCCAACTATCCTCGTATGTTTTATGTTGTTTTGATCAGGAGAGACAAGGACAGTAGATGTTCGGCTTCAAAAAATATGTGAAATGCAATTTCGTAATTCTGCTAGTTTGAAGTCAAAAAGCAATATTTTGTCATGCTTTTTCAGAGATATTCGTTTCGCTTTAAAAACTTTTAGAACTTCATAACGAACTAAACCATGTAGAAGCATTTTTAAACATTATTTCTACCATGATTTTGTGTATACCTATTTCGATCAAAAGGCGTGTTTTGATACATTTTCGTTTGAGTGCAAATAATTGCCAAAATTGGTATTTCAAATTATCTAAATGTAGATAATTTGAGGAATATATTTATTGATACATTGATGTGTCTTTATTAGAGATCATTTAATCAGATTGTAAATTCCAGCTTAATTCATCAATCTACAAAATATAAATATAGCGGTGTAAAATGCAACATGGCGGGATATAAGCGATTATCAAAGTTATGCCGCAACTTCTGTATTTCCTGTTACAACTGAAATCGGGATTCTCTAATCTTATTATAATTGATACGATGCTGCAAAATGGTGCTGATATTTATATGTAAAATGGTTTAAAATTAGGCACTGTTACGAAATCCTTAAGGTGTCGGACACCTCATAGTAGAAATAAGTATACCATATGCACATTTTTAGATCTAAGATGAGCTGGAAGAAAATGATGTCGCAGAACTTAACCCCTTGCACTATTTTGACGAGTCAGACTCGTGACGCACTCGTACTTCGGCCGTGATCAATTTTACTCGAATTTTTAGTGCGCTTTAATTTGAAGTTCAAGTCCAATTATAATTTGCATAGTCAACGATTGCATAATAACATATTAATATAACATTTCACATTTTTTTGTCTGTATTAATATTGTAGCTCTAATTAGTCAGTTCTGACTGACGCACCTGACAAATAAGCCATAGCGCAAGGGATTAACAACTATTGTATGAAAAGTCTAAAAATTAATTTTGGAGAAATGATTCAGTTTAGAGAATAATTTGAAGTCGAAATTTGAAAGGTGTTTTTTGACATCTCTTCGTAGAAATAGTGTTAAAGATTAATTGCGTTGTATGGGTACTTTTAAATTATACAAAAGCAAACATATATAATTAAAAACGAGAAAAAGATATGGTGACCTATGATTTTCAGTTTTGAGTTATGACAAGGAAGAGTAAACCTGTTACTCGCCTAATCTAAATGCACCCTAAGACGTCATCAGGACTACGGATTTAGCTGCTTTGATGCCTTAAGGCAGGTTTGTGTACAGATATCCCGGAATATCAGGGCATTACGAGATAGCTCCTGTCGTCACTGTACAGAGGCTTATCGTCAAGGTATGTGATGTCCGAAATGTCCGGAATATCTTGTAAACAGGCCTTAAGGCATCAAGCCCTAAGTTTCGTACTTATGATAATGATTTCAGTGTTAATCTGATTATTTGCTAAGTTGAAATGCACTTTAAGGGTGCTTTTAGTGTCGTTAAATAATTAAATGATGTTATGAAGATTTTAGGGAAGTAACCAAATGAGGTAGTAAGTTTTAGATAAATAGCTAGACAAGATACTAAGTTTTAGATAAATAACCAAAGTTATTAAGCTTTTAGATAAATAACGAAACAAAGTTGTTGAGCTTTTAGATAAATAACTGAACAAGGGTATTAAGCTTTCAGGTAAACAGTTCAGAAGGGATATTAAGCTTTTGATAAGTAGCCAAAGTATTAAGTTTTAGGTATATAACCGAACAAGGCTGCTAAGCTTTTGATAAATTACCAAACAAAATTATTTAATTTTAGATAAATAACGAAGGAAGATTGTTAAGCTTTAAGATAGATAACAGAATAAACTTATTAAGCTTTAAATAAATTACTAAATAAGGCTATTAAACTACAGATAAATAACTAAATAAGGTTATGAATGATTTACGTTAATAACCACCTGAGGTTACTAAGCTTCACATAAATAACCGAACAAAATTATTTAGTTTTAGATAAATAACGAAGGAAGGTTGTTAAGCTTGAAGATAAATAATAGCCGGACAAATTTATTTAGCTTCAAATAAATTGTCAAATGAGGTTATTTTTTAGATAAATAACTAAATAAGGTTATGAAGGTTTTATGTAAATAACCACCTGAGGTTACTAAGCTTCACATAAATAATCGAACAAGGTTATTAAACTTTTGATAAATAACCAAACAAAGTTATTAAGTTTCCAGATAGATATTCCAACAAATATAGATAGTTCATTCAAAAAGTTCTAGGACTACTTTCTTTTATAAATGCAAAAAGAACTTTTGAAATAAATGTATATTTTTATTAAAAATGATTAGTTACAAAATGGGTCTTAGAAGAACGACTGCGTTTATTGCTGCATCTTCTTAGAACAGAATGCTGATTTTATGGTTGTGTTAAAGTCTCTAAATGTTAAAAATATTATTAATTGTGGTTCAATCTCCGAAAATCAGAACATTCTGATCCAGAATTTCTTATTATTTTCTTAAAACTCCAAAACGAGTCAAAGGTCAAGTTCGATGAAGTCAGCCAGCACGATTAGAAAACTGATCGATTTCAATTACCTTGAAATGTGTTTTCAAGGTCAAGTACTTGTATATTCGGTGAAGCTCTCAATATCCTATTTCTTCATGAATTAGTAGTTTCATGAAAATTCATTTAATTTAACAGACTCTTCTTCAATATCTTCCTAACATGTTTAATCAGTGAAAAGCTAATAAAAATTCTAAAAATTCAACCTCAAATAAAAAATGTGCCAGAAAATTTCGTCGAAGAAATTGTTAAATCACAAGAAATATTATGCAATAACACTGTTTATCTTTTTCGAACACAAGGATAAAATGAGTTTCATGTTGAGGTTTATTTTGATTCGATTAGGTTTAAAATGGCGGCTGCCGTTGGAGCGTCAGCGATGTGTGTTATTGGAAGAAAAGTCATTTCGCTGCTTTTAACGTATTTTATCAATCAGTATGACGTTGTATCACTATATCTTCTGTATCATATTACTTCTGTCTGTTTGAATACTCATGTACGCGAACCAATCAGATGATGGATGGAAAGCAATATGGATTTATCGATGTGATGGAACTGATGTTATATTAAACTTTTGTATATAACTCGGAAACGAAAACAGAATGTCTCTTGTATATGTATAGTGAACAGTTGTCGAGAAGAATGATGTGTAGGAAACTGTTGTTAAGAATAATCATCTGGATAATATACAAGTCATGGAAATTGGTGAAAAGATAGTTCATCAGCCAAATTGATGATACAATTTCCATTTATTTTATGAAACCTTGGCAGCGTTTGGACTATTTTGGTTTTAATCATATTAAAAATGTATAACTTATGGCTTGTTAATTAAGAAATAGTGAAATGAGACAGTGTACCATTATCAGATGACACAGTTTCTTCATACTTTATATACTGCAGGGCTTCTGTTATTGTATTGTTTGAACTTTTCGAAAAATCATAAAAAATATTGCGATACTGAAATTTCTGTTATAATTGCCTAATTACAATTGTAATACCTTATGTATTTATTATAAGTCTCCACGATTATTTATATATAAATATGATTACTTGTGCATAAAAATTACATCAATTTATAGTTTTTTTAAATAGAAATACAAATTCGAAAAGAGATAAAATTTTACTTGTAACAAGAGAGGGTTAATTTTAGTGACTGAATAACTTAATGTTAATTGATATATTGATTCAATATTGCAATACTAAAATTAAAAATTTAATAAATTATAAAAGTATTATTATTCTTCTATTATTCGACACTTATTACATTTTAAATTTAAATATTGTAATTTCAGTGACATCTAATAATTTTCAGTTGAGATATAAAAAATGAATTCAAGCATAAAACTTGATAGCTTGGAAATTTCAAAATTTGTTCGATATTTTGAAAATTTTGGGAGAGTATGAAATTAATAAATAGCTAATACTTACCTCTTCAATTAGTCGATTTCCAAATATGCAAAGCATGAACACTTGTCCAAGGGAGTATAACAAGTAGCCTATCACTGACGCTGAATACGTGTCAACTCCGTGAATCTATCGATTAAATAATAAATTGTTATTTTTTAAAATGCAAATGATAGTACTTTCTTATGTAATTAATACATTTACTTCATAATTTTCGTAAGTGATGTTATCATTTCAAGTAAGATAGTTCATTCTTACGTCTTATTATAATTTCTCGTTTTTAACGATTCTCATGAATCTTTTTTAAGTAAATAAATATATATGGAATATAGATGTAATACATATTTTACTCATAAGTTATATATTATATATTATAAGAACAATTATTAGTTTTAATCTTGTATTCTATATCGTATATCATATTTCATATATCGTATATCATATATCGTATATCATATATCGTATATCATATATCGTATATCATATATCGTATATCATATATCGTATATCATATATCGTATATCATATATCGTATATCATATATCGTATATCATATATCGTATATCATATATCGTATATCATATATCGTATATCATATATCGTATATCATATATCGTATATCATATATCGTATATCATATATCGTATATCATATATCGTATATCATATATCGTATATCATATATCGTATATCATATATCGTATATCATATATCGTATATCATATATCGTATATCATATATCGTATATCATATATCGTATATCATATATCGTATATCATATATCGTATATCATATATCGTATATCATATATCGTATATCATATATCGTATATCATATATCGTATATCATATATCGTATATCATATATCGTATATCATATATCGTATATCATATATCGTATATCATATATCGTATATCATATATCGTATATCATATATCGTATATCATATATCGTATATCATATATCGTATATCATATATCGTATATCATATATCGTATATCATATATCGTATATCATATATCGTATATCATATATCGTATATCATATATCGTATATCATATATCGTATATCATATATCGTATATCATATATCGTATATCATATATCGTATATCATATATCGTATATCATATATCGTATATCATATATCGTATATCATATATCGTATATCATATATCGTATATCATATATCGTATATCATATATCGTATATCATATATCGTATATCATATATCGTATATCATATATCGTATATCATATATCGTATATCATATATCGTATATCATATATCGTATATCATATATCGTATATCATATATCGTATATCATATATCGTATATCATATATCGTATATCATATATCGTATATCATATATCGTATATCATATATCGTATATCATATATCGTATATCATATATCGTATATCATATATCGTATATCATATATCGTATATCATATATCGTATATCATATATCGTATATCATATATCGTATATCATATATCGTATATCATATATCGTATATCATATATCGTATATCATATATCGTATATCATATATCGTATATCATATATCGTATATCATATATCGTATATCATATATCGTATATCATATATCGTATATCATATATCGTATATCATATATCGTATATCATATATCGTATATCATATATCGTATATCATATATCGTATATCATATATCGTATATCATATATCGTATATCATGTATCGTATATTATATACCATATATTATATACCATATATCATATATCGAATATCATATGTCGTATAATATATATCATATATCACATATGTACATATAACATATCACATATCGCGTGTCACATGTGATGTATTATATATTAAATGATACATGGAAAAATGCTAAGTCGCTATATCTCAAACAATAACGAAAAATGACATTAAATAATATTACCTTTGTTGCTTGATAAGCGAGTAAAGTCAACGTGATGGTGGTTGTCAACATGTGCAGCAGAAGAGCAATACCATAAGCGTCTCCAATCGCAGTGACCAGTCTACAAGAAAATGTATAGCAATAACGTTAATAAAAATTTAGTTATTATACTTGCGTACATGGTTACCTAACCAAAGTAAAATTTTTTCTTTATATTTTGTACTGAAGGTACATGGTTTATGATCATGTTCCTGTATATGATTCCCTCATCTGATCTAAAAATCTTTTTTCTGTATACACTCTATTTAAAATGCATGTGTTTTAATTGTGTTCCTGTGATCATCTAACCTAACTTAACTAAAGTTTTTTTCTTTACATGTTACATTGATTAATGTGTGAATTATTATTATATCTTCATACACGATATAGAAGATATATTATATCTTCATATCTTCTAACTAAACTTAACCAAACTTTCTTCTCCACATTTTGTATTGAAAATGCATGGTGTGTAATTAAATCCTCATATATGAACCTAAGTTTCTAGTTAAGTTTTATGTTCAAGGTTTCTTATTTATTATGCATTAGAATTGTATTAGTGTATTGTCATCTGTTTACAGCATTGTTTTCTTATACAAGAACACAATGATTACCTAACCTAACTTAATTCAAGATTTTTGTTACAATTTGCACAGAAAGTGCATGTAATTATGCTCCACTATACAGTGCTAAAATATTTATAGAAAGAAGGTTAATTGGACAAGTTTGGTTCTTTATGAACAGATTAAATACCATTCAAATTGCTCAACATTCTGAACGTTACAGTTAAATTGCATTTCAATGTTTTCGTATATCATGGAGTCTGTAACTCTTGTTAAATTGTTAAGATCAGAGGGAGCACAACAAATCTGTTGGAAAGCCCCGCGGTTGCAATATAACAAAGTTTTAACTTGACCCAGTTTACAGGTTGCATGCATTTAACCAGTTGGTTACAGTTTATAACCGAACAACCGTTACCTCCCTATTCCTTCTTGCTCTCGTATCTCCTTTTTACTGCTTAAATAATACATTTCAGCGAAGTGTCGTCGCGTTAGCTCTATCCAGTATGATCGATATCAAGTATCTTAAAGGGGAGGAATAAGACTTAGGGTTGTTCGATGCGTAATGTTCAGAAACTTCGAGAAATTTATACAAACTTAGAACGAATGCTATCTAAGAAAAAATTGTATTGACATTGCGTACATTGCTAACGTTTCTAATCTTGTGATACGTTAAAATTCGTAGAAATAATATATTAAATAAAAATGTGTAATATACAGGGTGTTTCATAATACAGTAGAGAAGATTCTATGAGCAACTAGGTCGAATATTTCATTTAAAATTGTTTTGAATTTAGTTTTGGAATAGTTGAGGTTTGTAAACATATTTATTAAAACTTTTGCATGTTTGAAAATAATTGTCTTTTGTATTTTTTAATATAGGTATATTGTTGTTGTTAAGGAAATTGATAATTTCTTTTGTTATTTTGGTAACTTTTTTCTACGTTTAATAGCAATGCAAATAATTTAAAGAGATAAAATTCAATTCAAATCACATAGCTTGTGTAAACATAACTATAAATTCAATATTAAATTGAATATATCAGGGGTTCCTAAATCTCTTAGGCTTACAATATTCTGCATCAAAATTTTTGATTAATTAAAGATTTAAACTCATACTTTAATTCACGAATATTAAATGTAATTTATTACATATTATTATTAATATTATGTTAATATAACAGATTGCTAATTATAATGGTCAAACGAATACTGATCGAGATAAATTACCATTTTATTTGTTATTATTTCAGCACGAATAATTTGGAAATATTGTGTGGATTATCGATCACTCTTATTTTATAAATACGGAGATACCATATTTACCAATATTTTCCGATTACCTTTGTTTCCTATAAATGCGGAGATATTCAACAAATATCGTCGAATTTTGTGAAATACGTGACGGTGAGTTTTATAAATATGCATTTATTTTAAAAAATATAATCCATGATGATGAAACCGTACAAATTATACTTCGCAAAATATGTGAAATAAAAATGTATATTTAGAATTTTTTAAAAAGGGAACACACTATTTTTTAGATTATTTTAAAGTGGGAATAGACTGTAAGTTTATTCTAACATTTAGAAAGCAGCTTTTTTATATAGAAAAATAGTATTCGTATTTACTGCGGTCTTTGTGTAAACACTTTTCTCATAAACAAAGAACAATTTAAAAAAAATTATAGTTCTGTTTATTTCCATTGTTCCATTTCCCGGAAAAAAATTTTAGTTGCAGGCATATGTGCATTCTAATTGAAAAAGTGATAGATGTAGTTGGTTTTATATAAGAATATTTTTAAAATACTTTTGTACTTGAAAATACTATACTTGCAATATGGTACATATAATATACTTCTTATTGTTAGTATATTATACTACTGAAACTCTTTTGTATATGTAACTTATAATAACAAGATCTGTCATAATAATTTATAATAACATTTATATAATAATAAATATAGTGTACTTGTAAGATATAAAAACTTGTTATTTTCATGTAAACTATATTATTTTTTCGTACACTGTAATTTTCATAGTGAATAATGTAAAATGTACTTTTATATTTTGTATTAGTATATATTGTAAATACTTTTAAAATGATATGCCTCGAACGTACACTATACATTAATACTACAACTAAGAAATATAATTTTCATTTCCAACCCATCTATTATTTAAGTTTGTAACGAACCAAAGCCAAAAAGTATAAAATAATAAGTAATAAAATATGTAATAAAATAAAGAGTACATGAAGTAACAGAATAAACTACTTAAGTAATAAAATCAAAGTAGCAGAATAAAATAATAAGTAATAAATAAAAAAATAATACTTTTGACAGGACAATGTTTACAATGCTCCTTTCTAGAACGATTTCGTTAAATTTCTTTTTATCTCAACTCGTAACTTTTGTTTCCCCGATATCTTTCCTTCGTATCTTCTTATTTATGTCACAATCCACATCACTTGTTTGGAAGAAACATTCTATCCAGCTTGAAATTAATGTGTCTGTTTCCTTATGGTCTTGTCTAACAGTTTTATTTCTTTCTAGAACTGAAAGTATGTAGCATTTGATAATACTTCTTTAACAATTAGAAAATAACTTCCATGTTTATTTCATTTTCGTTTTATCTGTTTGCGTAAATGAAATAAAAATTTTATATATCAATTTAATTTTTTCACCAATTTCTGATTATTACTATACTTCCTGTAGTTACGTAACCTGCTAGCTATTTTCTTTCGTTTTTAATCGGAATAAAAGTTCAGTGAGACACCCTATATAGTTTATGCAAAAAGTAACTTGTTGAAACAGTATGTTAAAATTTAATACACCTACTACACTAGTTTCTTTTCAAACAGTATATTAAAATTGAACACACGTATACTAGTTTCTTTTCAATCAGTATATTAAAATTTAAAACACTGGTTTAGCTCACATTAGTTCAAATTTATGAAAAAAATCTAGATATACTCTTCACACAATTACCAATTCAACTGTTAATAATTTCTCAAGATTTTTTGAGTGGGATAAAACTTAAATATATGAAAAGAAATTTAATTTTATTCAAATTTTTCATTTCAGATGATGAAGTTCAAGCAACAGGAGCTAGTCGCGGACTTGATGCCCAACATAAAGTTGATGAAAGCTAGTGGGCACTTTTTATTCAATTATGCCGACGGCTCTGGAAAGAGCATGCAAAAGATCTACAGTTCGGTAAGTAATACAAATGCAACAAATGATGTCTAATCGAATTACAAAATTAGACATAAATATAAAAATGTTTGTAGAATTCGAGGGTTTAGAATCGGATAATGTTACCTCCAAAAACAATAAGTAGGAGTCAGACAATGCTGTATGTAGATAGAGTGCATAAAATAGGTAGATTACTCGTAGGGACATATTGGACCAATTTGTAAATTTCAGGATTTCGAATTTAGTTAGAAAGATTCGATATAATTTTTATATTGTTCACAATTAAAATCTGTAACTTTACTGTTAAATCCTATTTAATTCCATTTAATAAATAACTACCATTTCGTTTCATAAATGTCTACCATTATTTCTTTTCATAAAACTTCCAAATTCTTCCTGTTTCCATATTTTCGTAGTCCAACTTTTGTGACCGTAAATCTATTTTTAACGCAAACAGTGAATTTTTGGAGTTTGTCTCCAAACCTCAAATGGGCAACAGGTTTCGTATATCAGCAAAGGATGCCCCAGAGCCACGAATTCGTGCCGTGGTCGAAGAGCAAAACGTCGAACGTGCAACCTGAACGTTGCATCGTCGATCGTGGCGAAAGAAAACGTGTACATGCACGTGTTAGACACGTATACCGGTATATACACGTGAACGTGAACGTACACCCCCTGAATTGTCCAATAAATTGCCCAGTCCGCCTGGTATGTCCCCAGTTGCGGTCAATATCGGCCTCTCTTAGAATAAATACTTCACCACCGTGGGAATACACGCATCCCTTTTGTTTCTCCATCGCCGAAGAATCTATAGGGAACACAACACCGGTGTCCTTTCTCTCCCCCTTTTCTTTGAAACTCGCATCAACCTCACGCGACTTGTGTTTTCTACTTCTTTCCCGAAGAGAATCCCGTCTTTTGCACCCGGAAATACTCGCGCCGCTATTGGTTGTATTGTATATCTTATTTGTTGTGTCAGGTCGTTTCCTTAACGTTCATTTGTACTTATTGCAACTTTCTTGATATTGCGCAGTTTCATAGTAGTGATGTCGGTTTAATTTAACGGGGAATAGTATAGTTTGTATGGGGATATTTGTGGTAAAAGTATATGGGACGATTTAATACGTGATAAATTAATTTATGGTGATGTGCAACGCTTAGCGATGGGATGCGTAATAATTGAAAGGGTGGCGATTTAATGTTATTCAATTTATGGCGAAGTAATTTGTGGTGGTGCAACGCTTAGTAATCTAATGTGGGATAATTGAAAGCGTGGCGATTTAACGCGTAGTAATTTTATTTGTGGCGATCTAACTCGTGATAATTGAGAGGAGCGGCGATTTAACGCGTGGAAATTCTACTCATGGTTATCTGACGCGTAGTGGCGCAATGCTTAGTAATCTAATACGTGGTAACTGGAAGAATGGCGATGTAACGCGTAGTAATTCTACTCATGGCAATTTAACGCGTAGAAATTGTACTCATGGCGATTTGACGCGTAGCAATATAATTATGTGGGATAATTGAAAGCGTGGCGATTTAACGCGTAGTAATTTTATTTGTGGCGATCTAACTCGTGATAATTGAAAGGAGCGGCGATTTAACGTATAGAAATTCTACTCATGGCTATCTAACGCGTAATGGCGCAATGCTTAGTAATCTAACGCGTGGTAACTAGAAGAATGGCGATGTAACACGTAGTAATTCTACTCATGGCAATTTAACGCGTAGAAATTGTACTCATGGCGATTTGACGCGTAGCAATTCTATTTATGGCGATTTAACGCGTAGTAATTCTACTCGTGGTGATTTAACGCGTCGTAATTCTACTCGTGGCGCTCAACGCGTCGTAATTCTACTTACGGCGCTCTAACACGTTGTAATTCTACTTATGACGACTGAATACGCAATAATTCTACTTATGGAGATTTAACGCGCAGTAATTCTACATATGACGATTTAATGCGCAGTAATTCTACATATGACGATTTAACGCGTAGAAATTTTACTCATGTCAACTTAACGTGCACTAATTCTACTTATGGCGACCTAATGTGTAGAAATTCTACTTATGACTCTCTAACGCGTAATTCAATTTATGGCAACCTAACGCGCAGTAATTGAAATTGTAGCGAATTAACTCGTCTCAATGCAACCCATGACGATCTAACGCATAGTAATGCAACCCATATCGATTTAATTGGCATAATAATTCGACTCATGCCAATTTAACATGTAGCAATGCAACTCAAACCGATGTAGCATAAAGCTGTACAACGCGTGGCAATCTAAGGCGTAGCAATACAAGATAGAATGTTATAATACATATGTTATACAACGTGTAACAAAATATTTGTAGGCCATACAATGCGAGGTGATGTAATAGATTGTACAATATACCACGTTTTAACGTGTTATAAAAAGTGAACGAGTATGAATGCCAACGTATGACTCTGGAAGTTATACCTTCGAAGTAAATTTTAACTTGGATCGATAGCTTGAATTGATATTTATCTAAGATGATAGTTTCTATGTCGTGACCTTTGTGCTGCAATCATAAGAAAAAACTGTATTTTGTATGTATTAATTTAATTTTGTTAGACAGAAATAAATCGAAACTTGGCTGTGTTATCTGCATAATATAATCCCTTTCTGCATGATTTTTTAGAAAGAGTTGAAAAAATATATGTTGTTACTTTCAATGCTGGTAGTTAATAAAAGCTAGCAGTTTTGAAAAAAATCTTTTTATTATCCAAGTTTTCATTAAAAATAGGTTTGGCCTGTGTATGGCACGTCATGTACTTATAGATATAAGAATACAGTTTAGTATTTTTCTACAGTCTCAGCACACTAGCATAATAGTTTCTGATTCAAGTGGTATGAAACAACAAGGAGCAGTTTCTGTCTTTGTTCAATTACAATGGAACCTTACGTTTTACACAGTGTAAAATATTGTGAACTTTCAAACAAAAAAATATCGGCGGTTTTTCTGGTTTGGCTCATACACTACTGTCCATAAGTATCCGGACACTTGGTTTCGTTACATAAAACATAGTTGAACTTTGTACGAAATGTATTTAGGGTTATCATATCATTTGTAATAATTATTATTATCTTTTTTGAGGTGTCATAACGTAATAGAATTAATTTTTAAGTACAAATTATACAACGAAAGTGTGAAAGTAAAATTCATGTCCAGAAGTACAAAGTCCAAATTTGTGAATCTAATGAAACGCTTTCGATTCTAAAAAAAATTTTACTTTCTACTGTGTTTCATTTCTATGGTGCAGAACGTATTCAGAGGGTTCTTCGATATGTTTCAAGTGTTTGTAAATTGTTGGTAGATGCTAGGTTCCCTCAATGGGGATAAGAATGAAGGTAACGCTACGCACTCGACACGTTTCGGTTTAGTTCGTCTGTAGCTTCTTTTCCATCGAGATATGAGTTTCAAACGAGAATTATCAATGGAAAAACGTTCCAGTATTCTGACCTTCGCAGAAAAAAAATCGATTTTAGTTACTGTTGCAGATACTCGAATAACTTTCATGCAACGCGAATGCATATTTCGCTTGTGTCCGGATACTTATGGACGGTAGTGTATATGAACCATTATGCAAAAAGGGGATAATTTTCTCATTTTGTAAAACGAAGATAAATCAAAACACTGTTATATTAAATTATCTGTAGAAAAGATTGTTTCAGATTATTTCAAATAATTGATAACCTCATGTTCTTATTAAATTTTTTGCTAAGATTAAAATTCTTCATTTTATCAATTATGGGCAGTAATATTCTTCAAGTAATGTACGATAATATACGATATGTTTACAGTATCGAGCAAACGAAAAAAAAGAGGAAATTTCGAAAAGTGAGCAGAATTGGAAGGTGTGCGAACGTAAGGAAATTGCGGCAAATTTACTTATTCCCTTCTGGCAGGGATTATTATCCTAATGGAAGTCTCTCATTGTTAGGATCACGAATGTGAAAGGTCCTCTCATTGTCGTCGTAGATTACGTTTCCGTGTAGAAGCGAACTCGAGATGAGAATCGAAATGGGAAACTGGGTTACACCAGTAGTCAAGACACTTGTCTCAACGGGTAACTTTGAAATTGCAACTCGTTGTAATTTAACTTGCCTGTGGTAATTTTATTATCACTGTGAAAAATTTCCGTTACTCGAAAATCTCGGCTCATTAGAATTTCCCGCTGATTTCTTCTTAAATGTTTCATGTTTATTAAGCTTTCTCTTAAGTATATTTTGGAAGAAAAGCGTTTATAACTACTCCAAGTATAGTTAAACAAAAACTAACAATAATCAAATGTTTTCTACGAATAAAATTTACATAAAGAAAAGTATTCTACAAGAGAGAGTATTGAAAAATATTAGGAATGCTATTCTACAAAATAAAGTATTTAAAAATATTAAGAATGCTGTTCTACAAAATAAAGAATTGAAAAATATTAAAAATACTATTCTACAAAATAAAGTATTTAGAAATATTAAAAATATTCTGCTAAATGAAATAATAAAAAATAAAATAAATAAAATTTTAAGAATGCTATTCTACTAAAATTAAAATTAAAATTAAAATTAAACAATTAGTCTTAACTAATCTAAATTATTAAAAATTAACAATTCTAGTTAACAAACAATTCTAAAGTACTAAAACTTCAAGATTCAAAACTTTCAAAGCACCGAAAGCTGCACGTAAACCAAAAATGACCAAAAAGCGTTTAGTTACATGCAGGTAACTAAATACCTTTTGCATACCCAGAACCGTATTTTACTGCCATTCGAGTACGTGGATATCTCACGTATTCAGTTGAATTCAATATCCCTGATACGTCGGTCTAATAAAAAAATCGATACGTTCGTTTCGAGTGGTGCAGAAAGAAGGCAAAAGTGGAGCTACTCACCTGACGATGTGCTTGTGCCTCTCCACCCAGTACTTAATGGCACTTCTGACCAGCATCTCTTGTTTCTTGGTTAACCCGTTTGGCCCTACGCCCCCGTTAAACGTCATTCCGGCAGTTGGCCGGAAAGTAGCGGTGAAATCTTGCCTGTTGTTGTATATCCCTCGAAGGTCCATGTCCAACATGTTGTCACCTGCTGGTGGTGTGAGAGGAGGTGGTGGTTCTTGATCAGGAACCTGATTTTGAGTTGCGCTGCCCGCCTGGAAAATAGACATTTTATGGAAAAAGTTGTAGAAGATGAGTGCAATTTAATATTGTAGCTGCGCGTTGGTTTATTGGGAATTTCAGATAATTGTAGTTTAGCAAATTATTTCAGATAACTGAGTTTAGTAAGGGATTCGATGGTTGGTATAAAAGTGGCTTCGGCAGTTTTCGGAAAATGTCATTGCACTGACAGTAGTGTTAACTACAGCAATAATGTCCAATTCAAATAAGATTAAAATAATTCATGAAGAATATTGTGCATCAAGTCATTCGCAAAATATATTTCAGCACGTTGTTTAGGAAGTAAAGCGAAGTGGGGTAAGTTCGTAAACGGGGCAATTGCGTATACAGGCTATTTTTATTACAATATGAGCGAAATTTCTCCATTTAGTATGTTTGTTTCCCTGTTTTGTTTCACTATATCCCCTTTTATATTTTAGCTAGGAGTACTTGTTTGCAGTATAGAGTACTTGCATAATGCAGTAAAAAGCATTTTATAACAGATTTGTTAATAATTCTGCTCTTGCCCCATTGCACATGAAATAAAGTTTCAAAGTATTTAACTTCAAGTTACGCTCTTACCCCATTTTCGGGGAAAGTGCAGAGTAGTTGACATTTTAAACAATTTCCTATCAAAATCAAAACGTAGAAGGAAAATTAAGGTCCTAGTTAATATTAATTAAATAGTAGTAATTGTGCAAAGCGTTCGATATCGACAGCGTTAAGTATTTACATAGCAGACTAAAAATGCTTACGTTTAAATACCAACTTTACAAAAACCAGTCCGCACTTACCCCACTTCACCTTAATTGATTCGAACAAGAATTATAAAAATTGGAATTTGTAAAATACCTTAAACAAGTCACCACTGTTTGGCACAACGGTATCCAACGTCGCGCTGAACTCCATCAAAGGCTTCATGATGTTCTTCAAATGTTGAATTTGTTCGCAAGCGAAGAGGAGCCACGAACAGAATAACACGTCTAAAAGATTCGCGCTCGCCATGCTGAACAGTAACCAATAAAATTGGTAGATGAGCACCATAACGTGCGCCATTCCGTGGCTGGCGTCAAATGGGTACCAAGAGCGCACCATCAATCTTGGTATCTAAGTGAAGAAGAGATATTTAATAAAGTCTGAGGGAAAATTTACGAAATATTTTGTAAAAGCTTTCGAAGTAGGTACGTCTTAAAATAGTACATGCTCGAAAATATATAGAAAAATACATTTTAGTAATGCAACACAAAATTATTAAAAATGTTGGATTGTTGTTTTGCAAGTTTTGAACTAAAAAATAAAAAATAATTTTAAATCGTCTTAATAAAAATAAAAATATAGTAAATAACTATTAATAAATTAATTTTTAATAAATTCATACTAAATAATTAATACAATTAATTTAGAAATACATAGCATTTATGGGTTAATACAATTAAACCGTATGTTAATAAAATTTACGAAATCATATCGTTAATTCTGCAATATTATTTCTTCACTTCCAGATATTCTATAACCTCAAATTACCAATATATTTCAAAAGTAAATTCTGCCAGCGAAACAGTACATAATTTCACAATTCTTTAAAGTCACTTTCCATATAACTCATCACAAATCGTTCCTTAATTAAATTCACAATTAAAAAATTAAATCCTCCAGAAAGAAATGGATAAATCTTCGAATAATTACCTCAACAAACATAGTTTCATTGGTAACAGGATCAGTAACTTTCTTCACGGGATCTTCAATGAAGGTTAAGATGGTCCACGATAGCGTGGACAGCACCGTGGACCCCATGACGGCTAGCAACAATATCCTCATTTTTTTGATAGCGATTTGATGGTACCTCGCATTGCTTTCGGCGAAAAGAGGATGGCTGTTCGGATTATTCCATATACCGAGTGTTCTGTAAAACAGCTTGCTCCTGACCGCGAAATAAATTATTTTCACTATAGTATGCGTGAAGTGCAGCATCGTGATTGTGTTCGCAGTGAGGTCATCCACGTCCTCTCTTTCTTGTACCAGGTTTATCCCGCAAAATGCGAACTGCATGAGGATGAGTACCAGATGTACCTAAACAGTGAATTCAAAAATTAAAAATGTAAATGATATAAATTTCAAAAAAGTAATCAATTTTTAATGGAATTGCATGAGCATGAGTACTAGATGTACCTAAACAGTGAATTCAAGAATTAAAAATGTAAATGATATAAATTTCAAAAAAGTAATCAATTTTTAATGGAATTGCATGAGCATGAGTACCAGATGTACCTAAACAGTGAATTCAAAAATTAAAAATGTAAATGACATAAATTTCAAAAGAGTAATAAATTTTTAACGAAAAATGACGTGATGAGAGCATGTGATGTAAAAAGTTGTAGCTGTCTATTATAAATGGAGATAAATTTACGAAAAAGCTTTTGTACCTATAGTTATAAATATTTATTAAATATAGTTGTAAATATTCGATATTTATTTAGTATAATTGTAAGTGTTGAATGAATATTTGTCGAGTTCGTTGAGGTTATCGTGAAAGACGTTTGTTGCTCAAGGTTTTAAAATGCATGGTGTTACTTTGCTAGAGAATCGATTAGGTTCTAGAGCCACGAAGTAATTGAGACAGAGTCTAGGTCACACGTGATACATTTTTGTGATCGCTGTTACGATTACGCTACGAGTATTTATTCGAATGCATGTTTGTACAAAGAAATATGGCGTGAATATAATTGTACTTTATAATTAAACTGTTCTTAAAATATACTTTCTCATTTTGCATTATGAATACTTTACATAATGTATACATTCTTGTGTATTGAGCTACTATGTTTAAAATTAGATAGCGATACAGTTTTAATCAATGTGTTTCATTTTTAGTTCTTCATACACGTACTTGAAAAATTAGTTATTTTGGAACATGTCTATTTTTTGAACAATTATTGTATTCTTTTAACGTTCAAATTGGAAAACTGAAACTTTTTCTGTATTTTTTAGTATAGTGCAACGTTTGTGACCGAGTTATGAATATAGTTACGTGCGTAACCTCAAAATAATTAATTCATGTATTGCAATCGATGTTTCTGCCAATTTAATATTTAATCTAATTTTTACAATGTTGTAAACAATTGTTGGTACTTGCAAACGAATTGTTATACAAATGAATTTTTGTTTACATAGACGAATTGTATTTTTTATACGTTATTGTGATTTTCTAATTATTTTGAAGAAGTGTAATTAAGATCGCCATTTATGAAAAGAAATAACAGTAGACATATACGAAACGAAATATTAGTTATTTATTAAATGGAATTAAATAGGATTTAACAGTAAAGTTACAGATTTTAATTGTGAACAATATAAAAATTATATCGAATCTTTCTAACTGAATTCGGAATCCTGTAATTTACAAATTGGTCCAATATGTCCCTACGAGTAATCTACCTATTTTATGCACTCTATCTACATATAGCATTATCTGACTCCTAGGTATTGTTTTTGGAGGTAACATTATCCGATTCTAAACCCTCGAATTCTACAAACATTGCTATGTTTGTCTGATTTTGTAATTCGATTAGACATCATTTGTTACATTTGTATTACTTACGGAACTGTAGATCTTTTGCATGCTCTTTCCAGAGCCGTCGGCATAATTGAATAAAAAGTGCCCACTAGCTTTCATCAACTTTATGTTGGGCATCAAGTCCGCGACTAGCCCCTGTTGCTTGAACTTCATCATCTGAAATGAAAAATTTGAATAAAATTAAATTTCTTTTCATATATTTAAGTTTCATCTCACTCAAAAAATTTTGAGAAATTATTAACAGTTGAATTGGTAATTGTGTGAAGAGTATATCTAGATTTTTTTCATAAATCTGAATTAATGTGAGCTAAATCAGTGTTTTAAATTTTAATATACTGATTGAAAAGAAACTAGTATACGTGTGTTCAATTTTAATATACTGTTTGAAAAGAAACTAGTGTAGTAGGTGTATTAAATTTTAACATACTGTTTCAACAAGTTACTTTTTGCATAAACTATATAGGGTGTCTCACTGAAGTCGAATGCATACATCATTTTTATTGCGATTAAGAATGGAAGAAAATAACTAGCAGGAGCTTACGCAGGTGCAGAACTACAGTGATAATCCGAAAGTGCTGAAATTATTTATGCATTCGTCATGTATTTTTAACAGTGGCAATTTATTGTTTGGTATAACAGTGACGATAATTGAATTCAATTTTACAATCTAATTCATATTCAAGTTTGATTTAATTCGACTTAAGTGGAATATTCTGCTTACCTAGATATATTTATGTTAGGATTACTATTACATTTATACTAAAAATATTACTATACATATATTTATATCAGAAGTATATGTAACGTATATTGTATTTACATTTATTCATCACGTTTACTGTATCACATCTCAGGTGTATTTTGAACTTCACTTAAGGTGAAGAGTGGAAGAATGAATGTCTAGATTAAATTTTTCTTAGGTTAGGATATATAATCTCTTCTTGAACTCGCTCTGGATTTTCCCTAAATATTTATTGTCATTGTCATTGTCGTTTATTGTCATTATCGTTATTTATTGTCCTCGTTGTTATTGCCATTGCAATTTTAGTCTTAATTTTATTAAAATTTTTGTTGTAATTTTCAATGAAATTTTTGTTGCAACTTTTATCCTATTTGTGTTGCAATTTCGTTGTACCTTTGTTACAATTTTTGTTGTAACTTCTATTACACTTTATATTATAATTTTTATTGCAATTTTGTTAAAACTTTTATTGTAACATTTGTTAAAACTTTGATCGTAATTCTTATTGCATTTTTGTTACAATTTTGTTGTAAAGTTTTCAGATTTTTTTTTGCAAATTTTGTTAAAATTTTTTATGTAACTTTTGTTGAAATTTTGGCTATAATTTTGCTTGTAATTTTTGTTCCAATTTTCGTTGCAATTATCATTGTAATATTTGTTGCAGTTATTACTATTCACATTACTATTATACATATCATTACTATTATTAAACCGTCTCGAAAATTTATAATTCCCAAAAATCACGTTTAACTATTTTTTTTCGACTTATCGACAATTCGTTATTAACTACATTTCACAGACAGAATACAAATCATTCTATCGAGATATTCATTCTCTAATTAGAAAGTGAAAAAACGCGTCGTCAATTATCGAACAAAAACATATAATAATGCATATAAAAGAAAAGTATTGGAAAGCTTGTCATTGTCAAAGTCAAAGTTCCAGACGTTGAAGAAACTTTAAGCTTTCGTTACCGTTAGTATTGATATTCAGAGGTCAAGCAGTTCTAAATCATTACTAGTTACTCATTCAAACGTCTGGTTCCAAGTCATTAATAATTATTCATTAAAACTTTTGTTGTCTTCATTATTCTTTCATGAAGGACTGATCAGTGTAATTGAATATCGTATACAGAACAATGTTAGAGTCATAGTACATAATTTCCAGGAACGAACGTGTAAATCAAAGAGGAACATAAATAATGCATATAGTTTGGATAATTGAGTGTTGAAGTTTATGTCCTTCGGATATCACTAATCCATTTTAGTTATAATCGCATTGCTGTTGAATCGTTCGCTGCCTGGAAAATTCGATATCATGTTACATATTGTAACATGTATAATTTGTTGTAAATAACATTCTCTTTAAATGAGAGAAATGAGGATTCCAACTTTTCATTAAAAGTCAGCTTTTATACACTTCATCATAAAATGTATATTAATGAATTATTGAGTACTAATGATATAATTAATGATAAATTATTTAATATTAAGGAAATTAATCAGTATTGAATGTAGTGAAATATTTAACCACACAAAGGTAAATAACTGGTAATAATTTATAAGAATTATTAATTAATACTAAATTAGTACCTGTATTTTATATATGCATTAATAATAATACTACTTTATATATTAGTTAATTGATATTAAAGAAACGTAATTAATTTTTAAACAAGTTTGACAAATACTATGTTACTATAATTTTGCAATAAACTAATGTCAAATTAATATTATCAGCATATAAACTTATCATCCAATTACCTAATTAGTTAAAATCAATAAAAGATAGCAATTCGCTAATATTACACAGTAAGTTGTGTCATGTATAATATCATATAACATATCAATCGTAAATGCACTTTTTCAATTTTCATTTATACCAAATAGAATTGAAAAAAATAATAAAAAAGTAAAGGAGGTAGCTTGAAAATTATAGTGCCACTAAAAAATATCAAGAAGCTTTCACAAAAATATCAAGAAATTTATTATAAAAGTAAGTATTAATAATTTTCAAATGATCTAAAATTGCAATTAAAAAAAACTTATTTTGTTTAAAAATACGAAAGCAGGTTTTGAGCTTTTACATGCATGGCTCGAACGTTCTGCACTTACGTAACAATACAAAACGCCGATAAACTACCCCCAACAACTAAAGCTGTGTATATTAAACTTTTCAGGCACAACGATATGAATATTTTAATGTTTCATTTTGAATTTACATTTACGATTATATCAATACACATCGATGTCGAAACTTGTTATAATATAGAAACATTTTTTGCAGTGTTTGTGATACACCATTCTCTAAAATACAGTTAAATAAATAATTATTCCGCTAGTAATACTAAATCATTATTATCGTAATTATAATTCAGTTAATTATAGTCAATTCAAATAATTATAAGTTTCAGTAATTTGTGTAAGAATGTATAAGTTGAGGTAAATATGATAATAATAAACATATGAGGTGGCAACATGAGACTCCCGTTATATCGCTTCTTTTATACAGAATTTTAGAGCTGCAATATTTAACATTTAATAATATAATTTATTATTCTATAATAATACAATATACTTTGTACTATTGTATAATAACAATTTTTATAAGTAAAACAATTTTTAATTGATCTAATATTTTGTTTTAACCAAAACAAAATTGATGTGTATCTACGTGGTAATACTCTTTACTAAATAATATTTACTCAAACTATCTTTTAGCAATTAAATTATGTTTATTAACACAATAAAGCTAAGTCAGCATTGAGTATTCCGTAAGCTCTATTAATTCATATGTTTGATTCAAATTAAGTTGTGTTAATTCATATGTTTAGAAGCAGTTATTTATATAACTTACAAAAGTACCACTTACATTATAAGAGAGGGGTAAGGCATTCTACTCGTTCATTTTCAGTGCTTTTAGCAGATTCAAAAATTTTGGATTATGAATTTAAAGACAGTGGGATTTATGGACGTAAAAATTCGGGGAGTTGAGAAATTGTGGATTTTAAGACTTGGAAACTAAGGAATTGCAATTAGGGAATAACTGAGGACTTGAAAGTAGGGAATAAGGAATGTAGGGATCTAGGTATATGGAATGTAAGAATTTAGTGGTTTCTAAATTTGCAAGAAACTTGCAGATCTAGAAATTTGGGGATCTAGGAGTTTTAGATCGTGAGAGTTAGAGAACATGAGAATTTGTGGATTCAGAAATTTGGCGGTTTAGGAAAGTCAAGATGGGGGTTTAGGACTTCTAAAACGTAAAAATTGATGGATTTGAGGATTTGAGGACCTAGGAATATGGGAACCTGCGGGTTTGTGGATCCAGCAATTTGCAGATCAAGGAATTTGGATATCTAGGAATCTGACGACTCAGAAATTGTACAATGTAGGAATTTTTGAACCTGGTTCGTGGACCTAGCAATTTGCAGATCTAGGAATCTAACGATTCAGAAATTTTACAATGTAGGAATTTATGAACCTGCAGCTTCGTGGACCTAGCAATCTGAAGATCTAGGGATTTGACGATCCAGAAATTTTACAATGTAGGAATTTAGGAATCTGCGCGTTCGTGGATCTAGCAATTTGGAGATCTCTGAATTTGACGATCCACAAATTTTACAATGTAGGAATTTGAGCGCTGAGTGATTTGGAAACACAGAGATTTCTGAACATAGGAATATAAAGACGTAGAAATTATTGAATGTAGGAATTCTAGGTGTAAATCGGAGGATTTGATAGTTTAGAAATTTTGGTATCATTTGATGAGTTAGGAATATGGAACGTGTGGATTTAGTGACTTCCAACCTAGGAATTTCAAGACATAGTCCTAATTTGAAGACATAGATATTACTAGACCCTGATATTTGAGTATCTGAGGATACTAGAATTTTGGAATTTTGTATATTTTATATTTAGAAATTTAGAAACTTGAAGATTCCAAAACTTGGAGATTTGAGAATTCGATAGTATAAAGATTTGGTAGTATGAAACTTTGCGAATTAAAAGATTGACAAATTCACATACGTGGTCTTAAAGGAAGTTAATGCTGTCTCTGAATGTACAATCATTAACAAACCACAGTTCTACTAATAATATGAAAACTACAAAAATCTTAGAATATCGAACTATCACGCTAACTCTCATAAAATATTAGGGTGTCCCATAAGTTTCTTCCTCTTCGCGCTATAAGTGGTTTCATCTGGCTCTGCTTGTGCAAACATGCAGGCTTATCTATTAGACATCTATGTCATTGTTTTCAGTGATCCGAGAGCTCTTTTTCAGTACGTTTCGTTTGCGCTACAGTACCTTTTAAAACCTTCAACCACGTTTTTAAACATGGGCAGCGAAAGGCGACATTTACGGCATGTCATGCTGCATTGTTTTAAAAAAGGTGATGGTGTAAAAAATACTGTTAACGAGATTTATACTGGGTGCGGGGATGGTGCTATTACTGTTACAATCGATCGCAATTGGTTTAAGCGATTTAAAGGGGGAAATTTTAATCTCGAAGATGAGGACCGCAGCGGTCGCCCAAAAACGACGAATGCTAATCTTATCGAGGCCATGCTTGATGAAAATCCCCGATATAGGGGACGGGTGATGCTGAATGTCACTAAGATTGCCAAAACAACTATGCATTACCACCTAACCACGATGAATTATGTTAATCGCTGTGAAGTTTAGGTTGTGCACCTGCTGACCGAGACGACATATTGCATTCTCGGTAAAAGAAAAGGTCTTCAAATTTGATTGGGATGTTTTACTGCATCCCGCGTATTCTCCACGTATCGTACCATCAGACTACTACCTATTTTTGTCCTTAACAAAATTTTCTTCGCGACAAGCGCTTTAAATCCATCAGCGAAATAAAAGTACGTCTCGAGAGTTGTTTCTCATTCAAAACACAACAAACTTAGAAAGAGGGCATAATGAGGCTTCTTGAAAGCTGGAAAAAGGTAATAGAACAAAAGGGTTCTTATCTAACAAAATAAATAATATCTTAAACAGGAAATATTGTGTATTCATTTCATATTAGAAAAAAGGAAGAAACTTATGGGACACCCTAATATTAGAAAACACTGATCCAATATTTTCACTCGTTTACTGTAGAACAATCTTATTAATGTCATAGTACAAATGACTGTTGCTATTTAGTATACAGGGTGTTACCTGCAACGCTACTCACGATTTTTCTCCCACTTGCAGTCACCTTACGAAAAAAAGTTTAGAATAAAATTTGCAGGGTATGAAGTGCACAATAGATATTTTTTTATTCATAGCTTTAGAGGACATCGAGACGAATTCAAAACATATATTACATTATATTTTTATTAACATATTACTCGATTTACAGAAGTGGAAAAATGTAAAGTACTTAGCTTTTGACTTTGGTAGGGTAACCATTATTTGGTTCCAAAGAGATCACTGAATGTAAACACGTGACTAGAATATAAGAAAAATACACTTTATTTAATTACATGTTCAAAATGTAACATATGCCGCCTTCCATCACATAATATTCCAGTCTTTTACTTCACATTTCCACTTCTGTGAATCGAGTAATATGTTAATAAAAATATAATGTAATATATGTTTCGAATTCGTCTCGATGTCCTCT